ACCTGTCACACCAAGTTGCACACAACTGATGGTCAAAATTCGCTTGCAAAGAAAGCTTATGTTAACGACGGACTCAACTGAACCACAGCTGAATCTCTCGTTTATGATATTCTCCATCTGTTTGTTCCACCAAAAGATTGCCTTACGTTTGTGTTAGAACGACTTTCGAGGTAGCGAAGCATTTTCATCTCAAGTGTTGATCGCGTGGCTGTTAATCTTGGCTTGGCAGTTGGCTTGCAAGCGTTTCGTCACCGAACCGGGAGACATCATCATCCAAACGCGCATTGATAAAGTCTCCTCTTTCGGTGACAAGAAGTTTATAAGCTAATTGACAAGCTCGGGGAATGCACCAAGACCCACTTGATCAACAGCCACTAAACCTACCCCGGCTACCAATATTTCGACGTAATACCAAGCATTTTCCAAACCTAACACAAGGTTTTTTGCCGGCTAAATGGGGGAAAGCCAGTTCGTGACAGAGTAATTCCAAGAACTGGGACCGTTTCGACAACACAGGTAGAGAGATTTAACTAGTAATGCGTGGGAATAAATTCTAGTATTCCGACCGGTCAAAAATGCTGTGTGGTTGAACAACTAAGTAGTGAAGAACATTTTGTTAGATTGAAATTACATTAAATCCGATGAAGAAGCCGTAATTCTACCACGAGAAGAGGTTTTGAAGGACTCACAGGAACATCTCAGAGTGGCAAATGTCACACCACACGAACTCTGTGGAGGGCGCGTCCTGCGGATATTCGCCACCCTCATCTTTTTGACAAGACTGATTATGATTTCACATTATCAACTTTCAGTTCAAGGGCTAGGCTCCAACACAGTTCTGCCTGCTGCGAACAGGTTGTAAGTACACGCAGACAAACTGACCTGCAACCAGACCGACAGGAAGTGTTTGCTCTGGGGATTAATGCTATAGTGCTTGAGTAATGAATGGAATTCGATCCTCAAAACTGAGGACACCTACACTGAACTTGCCCATTGTGAATTCACTAGAATTTTCATTACGTACCCCTCATCATGCCTACGAAACGACCTCGGAGATGACCTATCAAAAATTAATCAGTATATTCCTGTTGCCTGTTCTTCAGTGTAAGGTATCAGTTTAATTTATATCAGTTACCACTGTCAAAGAAAATGAAGCCTACACTAAAAAAATGTCATAACAGAAATTTTATTGCAATGATCAAAAGTGATCAATAAAAAATGACTTTCAGGCTACCTGTCAAACACGTTCCACTCTTGGTGATATACACATTTGCTAACAAATGTGGTTTTGCGAGAGACTCACCTGAAACCCAACTGAACCTCTCATTTATGATGTTTCTAAGACTGACGGAAACTCGGGGACTACGTCTAAGTGATCAACCCCAACAAGGGCGAAACCGGTTGTGGGCAGTCGGAGAATTTTCAGCAAACTCATCAGTAGTGCGTTACGAATATACAGGTATCGCGATATCTCGAATATTGTAGCAACTGAAACACGAGACAGCCTGGTGTAGCAAACGCAGTTGCTTATAAACAACATAAACCGGAGATTCAGCTGGGTTCCAGTTGAGTCTCTCGCAAAACCAAATTTGTTTGCAACTGAGTGTATTTCGCTAAGTTGGTGCAATTTGGTTTCAAGTAGAGCATGAGATTGACGGAAACTCGGGGACAGCGCCTACCTGATGAGCTCCAGAAAGGGCGAAACCGGTCGTCGGCTGTCAACAAATTTTCAGTAGCCTTATGAGCATTGTATTATGCTCCATTCTTATCATTTGACTGCCTATCTTGCGACCAGACAAGATAAATTGGCCTGCTGTTGTTTCTGATTTGGTTAGACATGAAATAAGGTGAAGCATAGAAAAACTTGTGGTTTCCTGTTCGAATTATCCCAATGAACGGTTGAAAATGTCACATGTAAATTAGAAACAAAAACGTAGAACTTTCTCAGCTTGGATACATAAGATTTCATTCCACAACGCTCAACCTGAATATTGTTGAATACGTTATACGTGATACGGTTTCACGCTTCATACCAAATAAAAATTTTTGAATAAACTCACCCGATATTTCCGTTTGTCAGATGTCTATTTTAACAGAGAATATTCAAAATCCCAACTCAACTTCCGCCCCTCATCATCTCCAATAATTGATTCGACCGTTGGAATTGTGACAGTGACAGCTGAGGCGACCAGACTGAAACGTACTCATCATTGTTAACTGACCAATCGGATGCCGAGAACAGGAACATGCCAATTGGTCCTCGCCTACGCCCTGTCTATGTTGGTCTGAGTAGTCATGACCACCGTTCGGAAATATTCTCCGCCTGACTCGCTTGAACGAGATGAAATCGTCCCATCTGGAAATGTTGCCGATTCTGAGGAACACAACCCGAAACTAGCTCGGCCCTCTAGTACCATCCCCAAAAAAGCATTATTTGATAGCCGAGCAGACCAAGTAGGTATTCTCGTCTGTTCCAATCTGTCTTTTAAAAAAGCTTCGCAGTTCAAAACTTTGCCGAAAATTCAAAGGTAGAAGCAGAATAAAATTCGAGATATTGTCTTAACAATTTTATTTCACTCCTCTGGGTGGTTTGGACGTATCAGACTCGGATTAGAAATTCTGCTCATAAAGTTGAAATGAAACTGCTGGGTGAATTTCTACTTGGAGGCGGCCAAGTGCATAGACTAGTAAGCGGTTTGAATCGATTAGAATGGCAGGGTGTTCCAACAGTCTCCTGACGACTGGTGACAACTGCTCATTCTAATCACGTGTCTGGTCAACAAGGAGAACAGAAAGTGGATTAACTGGCCGACCAAACTTCTGAAGTACGTACGCTGCTTCGTCGATTTTGAGAAATGCCACCACAGGTGTCGTTTGGCCCCCGGAGATAAGCGGTTATTTTATCTACAATCCGGTTGGTTTGAAACAAGTCAGTATGGCATCGAAATTTTCAGCCCAGTCGTCCGCGGTGTAGAATTCCTAAGCAGCTATGAACTTTGTGCGATCAAGTTGATTTTTAATAAGTTGATTTTTGAGTCTACAGACAACCGGTGGCACGCAAAATATACGAAGCACGGTTCTTTTTGGAATACATTCCTAGGTAATCTGAGAGGAGACACCATATGTTTTCTGAGCGAGTCTTCCATTAATTTTTTTAATCTGTCTACTTTGTCCATTTTCCGAGTCACCGTCCCCACTGTCTATGTGCCACAAAACATGAGAGCTTTTCGGAACTTACAAGCAGTGAACTCACTTTAAGTTTTTGATTGTACGATTGTGAAACTCTACATAAAATGTGCTTCATATTTAGTGGTTCAAAGCTACAATACCTACATAAAATTCTTCACAACTGATGGAAAACTTGACAAATGAACAGATTTTATTCTGCTACGGAACTACCCCTTACGGCCAGTTAGTTAATTTGAGGCAGATGTGTGAAACTTGACCCCACAACGACGAACCTAGCACCAGTTGGAAGAACCTAGCTTTCAGTCACTGAGTTCTAACAGGTATCTATTTTGATTACTCGTAAGACCCGCAATTTGGCGTAGGTAGTAACTTGACTGACGCTGACGAACGGAGTTCTAAAGCAAAGGCATGTGTCATAGCTTCAAGGTCATTCCTGAAGGTCACTCTAGAAGGTTTCGATTTTCTAAGCGTGTGGATACATGCCTCAACATGTAGGCCACCAAAGTGTACAACCATCAGTTGGACTGAGCTAAGTTCTGAACTCAGATGCGAAAGTTTTGTTCATTGGGTTGGCGGAGATCGTGCATTATTTCCAGGATTTTGGTCCAAATGAAGTCTCCTGGCCTGAAGGTTCGTGGTTCGAAGCCAACCTCAGTATCTCGAATGCTTCTGTTTAGGCTTGGCGAACCTGAAAGTATCTCAACTTCCTTCTGGTGACATGGCACCAAAGCACCGAAAAGGTGTCACGTCTAGGAGATTACTTTTCCAGGATCCACCCGGTAGTTGGCAGGCAAGATCTGCACATGTATTGATACCAATGTTACGAAGAAATCGATTCGCAAGTATCAAATTAAACAAAATCTAATAATTCGGTGCTTTCATAGTCTGTAACTGGATGGGTTAGTGTTTTTTTCGCATGTTCCGGCAGATAGTAACGAGCACTGGATGATTTTTGTGGCCAATGAGCTATAAGGCTGGTTCGGGGAAAACTCTTATGGTTAATATGTAAGTGGTTATCGTGAAGAAGTTACCGGCATACCAGATAGGAAGAGAATGCAACAGAAAAATCGGCGCACTCGAAGCAACTGCGTCCAGTTTGGGTGGAGTTGGCTGGTTCGTATTTTGAAAACAAAAGCAGGGAAAACAAGCGGATGGCTCTTCCATGAAGCTGAGAGGATTTTACCTCAACGGTGTTCTAGTTTGAATGTGAATGCTAATTAACGCAACTGAAAATTACTCATTGACATACGTCGATATCAACTACATTAAGCGTCAGTACTCATTTTCTCACTACCGGACCCGTTTCCGTGGGAGAGAATCGGCTCAGTGGTTAAAGCACCAATTTACTGAACAAAAGATCTGTGGTTCCAATCTGAACTCTACCTTTCGACTTTTCCTGTCTTAGGCTCGGGCAACCTGACGGTATCCTAGCCCTCAAGCTTCCTTCGGGCGGCATGGCAGTTAGGCATCAAACTACCACCACCACCACCAGCAGCGAGCTACAGCTACCGGTTTCCGTCGGCGACCTGTTTAAACAAGTACGACAACTTTTCCCTTGGCTTATTCATGTGAGCACATGTTCAGAATGTGTTTGCTAGCTAATAAGCTAGTCCTCTAATGACACTTGCTGTCACAGAGTCCGTACGGAGTCGTCTTGGTCAAAACAGAGCGCTGAAAGGATAAGAATCGAGGCTGATAAATACTCACCGGTTTAGTTACCGATTGTCTGACAAGTGAGGGGAAAGTTCCTGCCTCTTTAGGTAATCACTCCGGAAGTGATGAGCACGTGGGAATTCGACGGGGAGTAGAAATGAGATGTTTTATCGGGATTGCGAGGGATCAGGGTGACCGGACCAAACTTGTCTATTCTCGTGTTTCAAAAGTAGTGAAAAGTTAAAGTAACGGGGGTCGTGGCTTTCGCGTGTTTGTTTAACCTCATGTCTTGTGCGTTATCGTCAACTGAAATGTTTTTTTTAAAACTGACTTCCCTCCAATTCAATGGATTGCTTGTTTGTACCGGCTTACCATGCGTTACCGATGTAAGTGAACCTTGGCACTTACCCCAAATTCTTGTGAATTTGCTGTGAAGTGAATTCCCCAAACATAGCCTATTCGCATTCCCCATTTTTCTGACTAACAAAGCAATGATGAAGAACAAACAGTAGTTCCTTGGCTATACACAAACTAGTGCTATTTTTTTAAAAGTTATTGCAGTCCAGTATCAGGGCAAGCTCCGGTTGGCTGAAAGTGTGGGCCCAACAGCCGTTCATGATTCAGCATCCGCTGAATGCCGCTTGCCAGTGTCACTTCCAGGCGTGGGAATTTCGAGGATATCGTCTCCCCATACACTTTAAATTCAACGTACTGACACATGCTTTGGCCTGGTTTTCGGCGTTCTAGACACGTTGTGAACTTGTGGTGGTTCTTTCGACGAAAATGCTAGCTTGGAAGGTTCAAACCGAGAAATGAGCTGAGACATCGCCTTTATTACACTTAGCTTGTGTACGATGTCCCAAAAACGGCAGACGGTATAGAAGCGCTTTATGAAAGGCTCAAAACCAGGTCATCGAAGTTCAAGCCAATGGTGCTACTGATGCGTGCTGGCCGAAAAAATGTTAGTATCCCATTGTTATTTGCATTTTGTCGAGTAGTTTGTTGAGGTTAATTGCACTTCGATCAATTCCTATTGGTATGTCGTCCTTCCACAAGTGGAGGATGAGGCTTGCATCCCCTAGGCTACTGTGAGATGGAACTACAGAACTATTCAATTCCATGGTTGTGCTATTTCAGATTACGACGGGAGACTAATTTTTATATTAAGAAAAGTAAATTTTCGAAAAAGTTTGGTGAAAATCGGTAGATTTATCGCTGGGCAACGTTTCGCTTTTGACGCAAAAGCTTCGTCAGGCCAAGTGACTAGGTTCCGAGGTTGATCGAGATTTAAGGCGGAAGGAGAACCAATCAGTTCCGTCCGGCAACCTCATGTTCTACTTGAAATCGAAATGTACCAAATTAGAGAAATACACTCACGAAGATGATGATTCTCTGTGTTTATTCTCTGCGTGTGTTTATTCAACCCAAACTGGAGGAAATCTGCACAACTTCTCAGTGTGCAATTTGGGCAGTACTTTTGAAGTGATAAAATAACCACCCCTGCTGGATTCGTACATAAAGAGCACTATTCAAGTAGTCTATCTGGTGTCTCCGCAATAGTCGAAGTAGTAGTAGTCGAGGGAGACTACTACTAACCGATACTACTAGCCGAGGGAGACTAGTAGCATGGTGCGTGAATGTGAATCACGTGACGTGTTGTAGGATATTCCTAACCGCAAAGAAAATTCGAAGCACCACCCTTGTGTTAATCGTGCGCCTCTTGATTTCTGTGTTATTTTTTAATATGAATTTGTGAAAGCAGAAATATTGCCGCTCCCAAGACAGTGCACACCTATGGAAGGTACACTGATTCATTGCGCGAAGTTCTTTGGCATTTGTAAGCTTGTTGATTCCGATACTTCTAGAAGAAATCACGTTACGTTAACTGCGGACTAACCTTTGGGTCGCATGTCACTTGTAACAACCTATGACGTACAGAGACCTACTAACTACGGCTCTGTTTCTCACATTCTAATAAACACAGCTGAATCAAGACAGCGGCTCGAAGTTGCAAGAATGTGTGATAATTCCTTGAAATCATCTGATAACCGGCATGCACTGCTGTTCCTTGGGTTTACGGTTGTATATTTCTTGTCTGCTCCGTTTGTTCAGGTGGCTATAATGCCAAAATTGGAACCCAGATGTTCTTCAGGAGCCACTCTATTACTCACAGCCATGAACCACGAATGCATTCATCACATTTACTTGATTGGCACACTTTATATTAGGATGGCTCTCATGCTAGAGGTTTCAAGCAAAGCCAGTAAAAGCATCTATAATTCTATACCACTGGACTACTAATATATC